GATTTTAAGGTTTTTTTGGACATTGCCCTATATAAAAATAAATATATAATAAAAAAATATTATTATTATTTTAAAATTCAACCCAAGAATCAATCCAAGAAAAAACGTTATCATTTAGTTGAGATTTCGATCACGAGTCTGATTGATCCAAGTCAATATAAAAATTAAAATGATTACTATTATATTTTTAAAACTCAATTCGAGGATCGATTCAAGACGAGACCTGAGTCACATATCAGGAGGGTCAACCCGGATTGACTATAATAAACATAAAAATAAAAATTATTATTATTATAATTTTACAGCTCGATTTGAGAGTTTTCTTGAGATAAGGTTCAAGAAATAGATTGGAAAGGTCAACTCGATTAACCCAATTTTTTTAAAAAAAATGAAAGCAATTTTATTTTGATTAAAAAAATTCAAAATAAAATCAAAGGATTTTTCACTCGTGTTTTATCACATGTCAACTTTGATTTTTTACTAGGTCAGGTTGAGTTAATTCTCCATCTGTTCTTTTTTAAACTTAGACCAGTCCAAATCTTAAATTGACCCGATTCTAAGTCAACCCATTAGATTAGTCCTGGTTTTATAACTAAAGTTATTATAATATTCTTAATTTTAACACTTAATATAAACTAAAATAAATAAATTATATATATATATATATGAGTTTCATAGTAATACATATTAAGACTAAAATATATTTTTTATATATTTTATTTTATTTTATTCATCATAACCAAACAAAATTTAAAAACAATTATTTTATTTTATACACCTCCACTAAACACAATTTTATCTTTGTTTTTATCTGTTTTTTTAATCCTTTTCTCCTTTATTTTTATTGTATTCTTCTCTTTAAAAGTAAAATGTAAGCAAACATTATCTAAAAAACAAAAGAGGAATAGGTAAGAAACATAATTCCTACATAGTTTATTTAATGAAATACATAAAGGTTCCGGCTCTCCTCAATCATAGGTTTTCATAGGAATGATCTACAAAATCTTCTATTTCTCAGGATCATAAAAAGGCTTGAACTCAAGTTTTATTCTGTCTTCCCCTTACTCTATAAGAGAGTATGATTAAACCAAACGATAATTGAGGTAGGAGTGATACAATGATTAGGTCAAACAATAGCTGGTTTCCTAAAGCTTGTAAAAATAATGGGGAGGGGGAGATGGGTACTGTGGTGCCATAGAGCAAGTGGAAAGGGTTTGAAGACATGAATAAAGAACAGGTCTGTTACACGTAGAAGTTGGTCATTAATTTTAATGGAATTGTCTCCATCTCGACAGTAAAACATCAGACAGAGAGATTTATATATATCAGCAAAAGAAAATGAGTTTTTTCATGTAATGGTTCAATCTATGTTCACATGACCTTGTCGGGGTTGATGAGCAGTACCATTCTCTAAACCCTAAAGTCTACTTTTCTTAATGGATGATCTTCTGCAATGGTTTCTTATAGACAAATGAGTCATACCTACCCAACTGAACAAATTGCCCATATTCCTCCTGTAGATAAATATAATTGTGTGTAATTTTTTATTTATTTTTATTAACTTAGATATATAAATTATTTTGTATTGCGTGTAATTTGATTAATTTTATATATTTTAAAATTAACAAAACTCTATTAATATTAAAAAAATTTGAACTCGTGACTATAAAATAATAAACTCAAAACTTAACTAGCATTATATAATTTAAATAACGAGAAGTGCCCAGCGCTTAGTTGGCTTGTCTATTCCAAGAAAAACTTGTTTATATGTCCAAAAGCTAAGATGCAAGAGAGACACCCGTTACTATGGTTCTTGTGCTGTAGTGTCCTAAGCACAATCTCAAAGTAGACAGCATCGAGCAAAAGAACAGATTCCATCCTCGAAGTTGTCCTTGCATGCCCTAAAGCATTGCCAATGGCTTCATTGATCGACTTTTTAAAACAAAGAAGAGAATCTAAGGTTATGTGGTCTTAGGCTTGAAGCCGTACGAGAGCAAAGGAAGAGTAAACAAATAAAGAAAAGCATCAAAGGTTGGTTTTATGGGAAGACAAGATTGCTAATTAAATTCAAATTAAAGTTTGGACAAATGCAAGAATTTCTGTTGGGTTTTTCCCTATAAAAAAAGGGTTTCGGTCAGGTTGATGGAAGGGCCACGTTAATGAATTGCCATAATTGAATCGATTATTTATTTATTTATTTAAGAAAATCTTCTTCAATGGCTCCAGAAGAGCACATAATCAGAAACATTTATGGTTCTCGTAGAAATTTATTATTGTAACCAGCGTCTATGTATAATGATCAGAATTGGATTGCAACGGATATGATTAATGTGAATTAGAAATTAGAAATAATCATATTATAGATAGAACATGGGCCATGTACACCTGGTGTAAAAAAACCCAGAGACTTATCTTGTTCTTGTGGGAAATTTCTGTGGGCATGGGCACAACAGCCCATAAATTTAATTAAGATGCATATAATATAAGTTTGTTTGAACATCTCAATTAAAAAACAATTATAAATGGAAATTCAATTACAAAATTATAGACCCATGTTTCATATACGACTCTATTAGAGAATATATTGAGGAGAAAGTTATATATCAATATAAATACAAATAGATAATTAATTAATAAATTTAAATTTAAAAAATCTTTTTTTAAAAAAATTACTTTCATAGGCTGGAGCTACCACTCCTGTATTTAACTTATCAAGATATATATGTTCAAGCATGATAGCTCGAGTTTTTATTGAATTTAAACATGTATCTTATCATCATTTTTATATATACTCAGGTTAATATTAACATAATATATTGAAAATATATTTTATTATTTTTATACACTCAGGTTAATATTAACATACATTATAAAAAGAAAATTAAGATTTTTTATAATATTTATATGTTCATAGTGAAGTATTTTAATACAATTTTTTAATCGATTTATAACAATTTTGTGTTGAAGCACATTTGGTCAAGGTGCGCGTGATAAGGGTATATGTTGCAGCGTTGTGGATGGCCTTCATTTTTTAAATGAGGACAGGTGACCTCTTATTTCTTTTTCTCCAAAAAATATAAGGGGTGGCTCGCCCCCTTGAAAATAAAAAATCAAATCAGGATGCCTGGCCCTTTTTTTTTAATTATTATTTTAATTTTGATATTATTTTTAAATATTATTATAGATTTTTATTTGAAATTTAAGATTTTTTTCCTAATTATTATACATCTTATCTGAAAATGATAATACTAATAACAAGTTATTCATGAAATTTCAATTGAAACCCGTGTTTTATTATTAAAAATTTTAAATAGGTTTTAAACATAATTTTATCACATTTGTAATTTTTTTATTTTTGATCATACACATATTATTTTGATATTTTTCATTAACTTGCTTGAGAAATTATATAAAAATAATTAACAAAAATAATTATTTCAGTCAAAAAATATTATTTCGGCTAAAATAAACAAAAGATACATTAATAAAAAATATTGCCTTCATAAAAAAATTTCAATTCAACTAAATTTTCAGGATTAATGACAACACTAAAGAATTTTCCATAGCTATATTTCTTTATATTTAAAAAAAAAATGCTGGCATACAAACTACTATTATAATTGATGACTTATTTTTTATGCTCAGAACATGGTTGTTAAATCTTAACATGTCTCACAAGTTGACCCCAAAAACCGAAGACTTGAAAATTGACTAGTTCTGGGTTTCTCTTGTTCGACAACTTCATGGTTCTGGGTCCTTTATAATGGGCTTAAACTTATTTTTAAAAATGCATGACAACAGCCCAGAGTTTTGCCAGACCACATGAAGTAAATCAATCACATTAACCTCCTAAATGACCCAGTAATCAGTTGAAGAACAGTCATGGGAAGGGGAGGAAAGGCATCCCAGAAAACAGGAAGAAATGGCCTTTGTGTTACATTTAAGTAAATTCTGCATGAATCTTGAAAAGGTGACAGATGCATTGATAGATCCATATCCTGAAATCCATCCTACTGAAACTGTAACTCTTAGCCTTAAAATTGTATACTTCTGCGTATGATTTACATGCCGCTGTAAACAATTCAGTGGAGCAACTTGTACAATTTTTAGTTCAACACCTCGCTTCTCATCCAAGAAAGATCCTTGAACAGTCATCAATGAAGGGTGAAACCACGACTTTAACTGAATATCACAATTTACAAGAAATGATACACTATCCCTTGCTTTCATACTGTATGGCATACAGAAAAGGATGTCAAACGTTTGCAAAGCCACAAGCAGATAAGTGATGTTTATCTAGGAAATGATTTTTCTACATACAGAGATAAGAAACCACTGCCCTTGACAGAGAATGTTCTTTGAATCTTATGGCACCTCCTAGAGCAAAATGGGTGTGCCAAATTTGGCAAAATATGAGAGAGCAAACCTTGTTGATGACATATAAACTGTTCACTTCAGTCCATAAACTTGTGATCTATACTTTAATGGCTAGTTGGTAATCGATGCCATGGTCCGACGTGACCAGCTGTGAAGTAGCTCCATCTGCTTGAACAGCACATCGTTTCCTGCAACCACAGATTGTGGTATAAGAGTCTAGCGTATAACTTGTCTATCCTGATGGTGCAGTTTCATGATGAATCAAGAGCGGTGCATCAAGTTCAGGCTAGGATCAACATGCTTGGAGGCTGTCCTCAGGCAACTTAGTCTACATAAAGAGCATTCATTCGTATCGCAGAGAACTACCATCTCACTTTATCTCAAACAAATGAAAATACATTTCATCCAAAAATAAATAAAGGAGAGCTAAAAGAATGTGAGAGAACTTGCTCTGCGTGAGGATTTTCCTTCTTACAATATATTCCAGCAGTTAATTTCAGGAACTATCAAAATGCTTCTATATATCAGTAAAAGATGTTCACATAGCATTTTTAACAGATATACCATATACTTACAATCAAAAGTTGCCCAGCTCGAAGGAGGTGCCATGGAAGAGGTATTTTGCTGCGTATCATCGACATAAAGCAAGCTGTAGAGATCTGTAGGACCATCGGTCCTCTTTATGCTCTCAGTTAGTCCATTTGGTGTAGGAAAAGCAATTGGATTGCTCTTCATGTCCAACGAAGCCTATATGGAAAAATGGACAAGCTTTAGAACTCATGCATTGTTTTAGTTTATTTAAACTTTCTATAGATAATTAGAATACCATTCATATAAGTAGTCATTTTATATCGTAGCATTGGACAAGATTTGAAAAGAGTTTTGTAAGGTTATTCACATGGCACAAAACTTAGAAAGTGATTAAGATTCTAGCTTCCATGCTCTTTTACATATTATTCTCAGTTTATAACTAAGATGCGAGTCAGGTAGAGTTTTCTCTCAAGCACAAATCACCAAATATTAAGATTTATATAGGAACATTACCCAACGAGGTCTTGTAATTGGAGGAGAAAGTTGTGCTGTGATCCTGGTAAAACTCTCTTCGTCAAGAGACTGTGGCCGTGTTTGCCTCGGAACAACCCTACTGGCTGCACCTTCTATCAACATGTTGTTATTATAGTTAATTCGACTTAAAACTTGAGTTGGTTTCTTTGAATTTCTTGAAACCCATCTTTTCTCCCCATACCTGGAAAAATTCAAACTGGGTTAATCAAGAAAGATAAAGATGGAAATCTTGTTCTCAGATACAGCTCACTATAAACTTCAGTAGCAGATTTACTTAGCATGGATAAATCTGTCAATCCCACTTCTGTCAAAATTTGGAGGCAGTTCTGCTTCCCAGAAACTATTGGATCTCCTGTTACCCACGGCTATTAGACAAACAAATTCAAATAAGAATGGTTAGCATAACAGTTGTGCACTAATGGTCATTATACACACTCCAAATTAAAAGAGATCAAAAGCTTTTCAAGCATTAAACCGCAGACTATCTACTTGTGGTTCTTAGCCAGAGAAGCTGGATGACCAATGAAAAATAACAAAAACTGTCAGTCAGATTTTTGTAGCAAAATCTTAATTTTTTTTGTCGTTCATAGAGGGAAAGGCCATGAAACTATTATTTTTTAATAGAGAAACTATATCATTTACAGATGAATGATTCGCGATTCATTTCACACGTAACAACAGTAAGATATGCTTACATTGCATGAAAGCAACCTGCTCTGGCAACCATGTATCCAGTGTGGTAGACCGTACCTATTCGCAAAGCCAAAATGTCCAGGCCATTATCAGTACAGGTAATGACGTAATGTGGTGAGGAGCCAACAAAATAATGTATAGCGATAAAAATGAAAGAGCTAATAACAAAAGGAGGTAAAAAATGGCTATACAAGTAAAGATCCCAGATTTTGCTAGACGAAGGTGAAAGATACACTAGAATAGCAAGAATAGCAATACAAACCTGTGAAATATGCACCCCAAGACCCCGATGAGTTCCTGAACATTGCATGCATATAAATATTCCAAGGTTCACACTTGCCCATCGCGGTGCCCTGAGATAAATAAATTGAAAAACCAAAATTCTAAGATCAAACTCTTAACAGTTTCTTGGACAAGTAAAGACGTAATTTGAAATTCTCTACAACCATGTTTTTGCGTCACCAGAATAACAAAACTATTCTAACTTGTGAAAAAATCCATTCCTGCCGGGCTTTTGACTTATAGCACACAGGTAGCAAAGAATGGGAGCCAACAGTCACGATAATTCAGTTCACTATGCTCTTCTATGTCAGTAACTTTCTCTACAATGTTTCTGTGAGTTTTGCAGTGTGTATGATGCTTCCATTGTCTCGTAGTCCTAGAATCACTCAGGTGTTGCCTCACTTCAGTGGAAATTAGAAAACAAAGAATTCCTTCTAAGATAGAGTAAAAGCAGCAGCTAAAAAACATAAGAGAAATTCACAAAACTCCATATGTGGATATACAAGTTCAGCTGAAGTTAGGTTCCAGAGTGCTTTCTAAAAATGTGACCTCATGTTGCCACTTAATCCAATACCCATTGAAAGTAGATTATAGCTAAACAAGCACCTCGTACTGGTGAGCACGAAGATTTTAACTTATCTCAATAAGTGGCTAGGGCATGACACAGCCTAATCCAAAACCAGGCGAGGATGAATTCTAGTTGAGTACAGGACATTATAATTGCGAAATTGATTAAGCTGAAGCTAAGAAAGGGTCATAAATGAGTACTTGCTATGACAGTCAGCGCATTCTCTGTTCTCCTGCAGCTTAAGAAGGCCCTCTAATATCTGCATAAAAGAGTAAGAAAAAGAACACATTGTCAGAGAAAAATTGACGTTGATTATGTAAATGCAACTCAAAGTTGAATCACTCTTTGAACAAAAAACAAGGAAAGAAAATATCCTGACGACAAGGGCAATTGAATGCATGCTGGGGTTATTAGACAGGACAAGAAAAGGTGATAAAGAAGAAGGAGAATCGATTAAATTTTGACGACTCAAATTCAACGACCCCACAAAACTAAAACTGAAGATCCTAAACGATGACAAAGAAGATGGTGAAAAGGGAAAGCAGACCTTGGTGTGCCTGGCATTAAGCTCCTTAGAGACAGAGGCTTTGCTGTTCATGTTTGCCTCCCTCGGCATTTTTTAAGGAAATGGTGATTATATGTATCCCCGGGTGATCCGAATTTAATCTCAACCATCAAACAAAGAAAGATACGCCATGCACGCACACAAAAAAGGGAAGAGAAAGCTATAAATTGGATCAGAGAGAAAAGGAGGGACAGGACATGCTAAATGAGGGTTTTTTTTTTTTCTAAGTTTTTGTGATATGGGGTTTGCTTGTGACCAACAAAATTAGAGGGAATGGTTGGGAAAGCTGAAAAGACGGCAGCGAATGCAAGCTTTGATTTGGTAGGCACCTCGCTGTTATATTTGGCGGCAAATTCCTAGCTAACCGAAAGATACAATCATATATTTCTTCCTTTCAAAAATGAGCATTGCGATTGGACCAAAAAAAATGCACTGCACTGCACCTTCAAATTTGGTGGATTTACTATCCAATTCTACCTTTTGTTTTATTTTTTCTTTTCTTTTCCATGGTTTCTCTTTGAGCTTGTTTCCAATGGTTCGAAATGGTTTTCTAAATTTGTAGCATGGTTATTAAACTCCCTCGCAGGTCGACATGATTACATTTAACTTGAAATCTAGACTAAGCCGGGCAGTTTGTTTTTGAATTATTTTGAATATTAACCTGATCAAACCCAGATGAACTTGCAATTTGATTGTCAAACTCAAATAAAACCTAAGGTTAACTTTACTAGTTTTTTATTTTTATAAAGAATAAAGTTTGAAGCTAGTTTTGTATTTTAAATGGGCTTCATTATTTAGCATGCTCCATTTGGAGACCCAGTTATCAGGGGCTAGAATGCTGTGCACTATTTCCGACACTGAAGTGTTTTGGAGCCATTGCTATTCCTGGTAGAAGTAATGAATGATGAAGAGCCAATTGACCACAAAATTCTAAATAATGAAACACATACTAGGATCCAACTACAGAAATATCTCAGGTTAATGATTCTCACTCACCAGAATCTCTTTCCGAAAGACAAAAATAGAAGTCAAAAGTAAAAATAAACAATAATCATTATTTAACTCATTACTGATGACGCATTCTTGCTGTGATATGGATCATTATAAAGCCAAGTTTCTCCGATTGTCCAAACAAGCTTACTTCAACTTCTAACTCCTAAGCATGTCCTCTCTCGCGATGGACACAGCGTGCAGCAAATTCAGAATATTTCTAGTTGAATTCCTGGAACTTCAAGAGGCTACGGCCACATCATGGCAAGAAAGTTCATCCAAATTATTCAGATAGAGAGTTCATTAGAACAGCATTAGTGACTGAGTACACTATAATTTGGTACTAGGACAAACTAAACTAGCCTCCGTAACCCTGAAATGTCTAATTATCTAAAGTGTCTTGTGCAATAGCCAAGTTACATTCATGAATTGTTGGGCAGGTTTCCAGCCACAAAATTGACAAGCAACTGTAAGGACATACAACAGTAGTGTCCATCCATGCTCAGTCTCATATCAAATACAGAAAAGGTTCTAAAATATCACTTGCATGTGTAGATGATGTTTTCATAGGTGAAGAATCATGATTTTATAAAACATAAACAACTGCTTTTATGAACATTCTGATGATGAAGAATTCATATGTGCAGAACTGGTTGCTGCAATTCTCCTTTAAAGAGGAGGTTGTGAGTTTGAAGAACTCCAGGTTACTACCAGTCAGTTGCCAATATTTAGTGCATCAAATATTTCGTCCATCAGCCAGATTAGTTGAATAGAATTCAGTGAGGTACAAAAGAGACAGTGGAAATGAAAAAAGAAAAGCTCAAAAAATGATATCTTGCTGAACCTCCATATAAATGCTTAACCATCATTGCAAGCTACTATGAAGAAATGGTATAACAAAAAACCAGCTGTGAGAATATCCATGGCCAGGTACCTCCAAGGACAATAGCGGGGCATAATTATCAATCTATGGGTAGCTATGAAGAAGTGCTATTGGAATAAAAGTTGGTAGTCTGACCATTAACTGATTCTCTTGTGGAAGCCAGCGCAGGAAGAATCACAAGCCGGGGCTATAAATTAGAGAATCATCAGCTAATCTATGTCCTTGCAAACAATTCACAAACAAGACAGGATGAAAGAACAAAAGACCAATCAGGTATTCTAATGGCTATGTAGCTATCAAGTAACAGCGCGCAATTGAAAAGAACCATTCCATTTTCATAATGCAAGCTGCATAAAGAGGTAATCATCTATATGGGAAGGCTTAAAAGCAGAAGTGCTATATTGGCAATCTCATGGACTCTAGGCAACGCAGAAGGACAACAGTGTAATGAGTTGTTAGGAAGAGAATTCCAAGACTTTAGCATTAACAAAATTATCCTATCGTGCATATGTCTTTTGGTTTAAGGATCACGTGGGCAAGACCTCAGTGCTGAGACCAAGTATGAAGGAAACGAATTGTAACAAGTCTCCCAATGCAACAAATTCAAATTCAAGGTTCTGTAAATTTTCTTGACAAAAAACCAGAAGATTCTATTTTTCAGATCAAGAATTACTCAAAACATCACACCCCCAATATCCCATCCATTTCCAAAGTCAGACCTCCAATCAATTCATTCAATTATATTCTGACAATACAAAACAATAAAAATAGAAGTGCCCAATTACAACAGGACATTCAAAAAGACTTACAGCAATTAAAAACACACAAAACCCAAGAACAACGAGTATCCCAGAACCTCAGTTTCTTTGAACCTCGCTTGGATCACTTTCTTGCAGCTGCTCCTTCTTCTTGTGGAGTCTTGGCAACTATGGAGAGAGCATGCAATCCAGACTGCAACTCTTCCGCGAGTGCATCATAAACCAAGCGGTGACGCTTCACTAGATTAAGCCCATCAAATTTGGGAGACACAATCTTGACATTGAAATGAGTTTCCCCTGCAGTATTGCCTTTCACGGCAGCGTGGCCTGCGTGCTGGTGTGACACGTCTTCGATTTCCAAAAGACTTGCTTCTAGTGATGATTGTAATTTTGCTTTCATCCTGCTTGCTCTTGACAGTACCATGTTTGCTACTCCTCGCGAACCCATTTCGGAATTTTATCGATCAATGGAGAAGACGTGAAGAACAAAAACAAGACTTTGTGGGACTGTAGACTAGAGCCAGGAAGAGCCAAGAAAATCTTCTTTGAGCTAAGGGTTTAGGCCCGACTTTTACCCAGACAACATGACTGAGCCCACAGGCCCGTTTAATAATTTTTACAAGTATAGATGCACTCAGCTTATAACTCAGCGTATACAATTATTGGATTAAATGGGTTTTATTATTTTTATTTAAAGTGATATTATTATATTTTAATTTTTAGTTTTGACTGGATTGGTTTGATCCGAGTTTTGGTTATGTCACGCTTCAATTTATTGGGTCACTAGGGTTTGGCTGGATTTATTTAAAAAATAATTTATAATAAAATTCAGCACACATTAAATTTTAAATTATTAAATTAAATCAAGTATAAAAGGATTTTGCTTGCAACATCTATCATCACCACCAATAAATCGAGTCATGCGGGGTGGAGAACTTTATTATCTTATTTTGATTTGATTTTTTTTCAATAAAATCAATATAAAAAATTATATAAAACTACATAACAATTAAAGGGCGTGGGGGGTAACATTATTCCCCTACATCTATAAACATTGGGGATTATAATGATAATTCTTCTTTTTTTGAGTTTTTTTTTGTTTTAATTTAGTTTTTACATAATGTGTTTGTTGATATTTTTAATTGATAATTTATTTTAACTTTTTTTTAAAATTAGTTATCATAATATCAAAAAAATATCTCAATATTAAATTGATACTTAATTTTATATGATATTGTCTGAACTCTTTATTTTTCTAAAGATTAAGAGCCAAGGGACTAGAAATGAAGAATATTAAAATATAAGGCCTGGAGTGGAAAAATGAATAAGTCAATCAAGGAAACTAAGCAAAAAAAAAAGAAAGAAAAAGAAAAAAAGAATGGACTATGATCAGTATCCATCCAGAAAACAATAGAAAGATTGGCAAGTCAAACCAGACCTTCTAATGCCACACATATTATTCTACAGGGGAGAGTCTGCTTTAAAGATTACAATAGTAATTGATTGTGTTTCATTAAAAAAAAAAACATTATTTGATGGGCTTATAAAATTTATTTTGTTAATTAATTGAATCCATAGATGCAAAAAAATAAAAAGAAGAGAACAAGCTAACTCTCTTTCATAATTTATACATCAATTTAAAATTTAAAAATTCTTTTTATTTCAGTAAGTGTTTGAAAGTATAGTTATAATTATTTTTTAAAATATTTTTATATTAAAATAATATTTTTTATATTTAAAAAATTGTTTTTAAAATTAATATATCAAAATATACAAAAAAATATTAATTTTTAACAAAAAAAAGTTATTTTTTTACAAAAACGGTGCAAATGTTGATGATTTCATCCATTGTCCACTATTTTACTCCTCAAAAACATCATTAATATTCCCAGACAAATGGTTGCACCCGGCAAACTTTATTGCAAGAATGGTGAGTCTTTGTATAATATTGTCCCCCATTTTTATTATATGCTTAGATAATATTCTGTTTCACAGAATAAAAGGAGTGACATGGCTCAAAAAATAAATAGACTCATATAATAAATTAATTTTAGGTTTTGTTTGATAGCTGGTTAATGGAATGTAAATCTTATACTTGAAGTTAGCTTGATATAATTTTTTAGTAGTTTATTTCTGTCTTGAGTTCACAAAAGGTAATTCTTAATTATTCCTCACTAATCATTACTATAATTTAATTATTTTCCTCTCCCTTGACTAACATTTAACAATTTAATATATTAGTGCATAAAAAATGCTTAAAAATCAATTCATACACCCTTAAAAACTATCTCTATAATAATTATTTCTGTAATAATTTACCATTATTTTTTAACCTTGTTCCAAAACATTAGGATATTGATGCATGAGTTTTTTTAGAAAAAATAAATATTTTTTTTTCATTATTTGTTCTTTTTAGTTTAAAATTTTATTTTAT